TTTAAATAGACGGGCCGACCGCGCGGACTGGCCAATTTAGGCCTGCTATTTGGCGAGCCTAGAAAAACCTGGCCCAACCCTCCCCTTTCGCGGGCCCGCGGGCTTTTTGTGAGCTCTAGTCATACGAGTTAGGTTCAAACCCAACTCAAGCCTAACACTAAATCGAATCATCCAAGGTCGCCCAATGACCATGGCCAAGTTCACAGGATGGCGTACGTGGTTGAAACTAGCACGAGCTGCGCAGATTTAATTATTGCATTGATCTTTTAAGTTCACAACAACATTTAAATGCTCATTAGTGATTAGTTTCCTCATTTCCTCTTACTCAATACTCAATTAATGAAAATCAATATTGATAAAATAAATATACTGATATCGACTTGAAACATAATTTTTTTCTACATAATTTAATTCGGCTTGAATAAAATTTTTTAACTATAAAAATCAAACAACCATGAAATCCAACGTTTGTTAATTGATTTTCTAACATGAACTATATAAATCAGGATGTCTTAGATCATATAATCAAATAATAAGTATCGAGTAAAATAACCAAAAAAATTAAATAATAACAATCGAGTAAAATAACCAGAAAAGAAGCACCGGAAATTCCACGTAAAAGTAGTAGTGTTGACTTTATGTGTCAATAGATGGAGTCGGCAGCGGGGCCGAAAATAGATTTAATATTAATGTAGGGCAGCAAGTGTAAAATGACATGTAAAAATGCAGAAACATAGGGCCAAACTCTGAAAACTTCTCTCGGTACGAATTGCTTCTACCCCACTTTGATCGCCCCTCCTTAAATTTTCTGCTTTTGTTTGGACCACTCTTTTTCTTTTAAATTAATCAGTGGCCCCCCATTTATACTATTCCTCGATAATAATATTAATAATAATAATTTCTTGTTTTTTTAGATTGTTTATTGGATCATGAAAGCAGAGCTAATCCAATTTCACATGAATTTTTCTCTAAAGAATTATGTATAAAAAGAGTTGCGGTCGATTGGATAGAGAGAGCAACTAGGATTTTTCACTGCATGCATGATTTCCATCTGCTTTCACTAAGTCAAAATTTTTCAATTTATGTATGGATTAGCAACAGATTTGAAATTAGATATCGACTTTTAGGAGGTTAATTTCATATCTTTGACTAATAAATCATGGGGGAGGGTCATGTTGTTTCACAAATGACATAATGTTTGGAATCAACAATGCTCACATTTGCACATTTATGACATCCACTCATTTGTTATTTAAATGAATCAAATATAAAAAATTAATCAAGCTCGTTTACTGAATAAGTCGAGTCAAACGTGTTCGGGAACAACTCGATTAGGATTTTTAGGGTCTTAGAATTAGAACTTAATAAACTGAATCGAATCAATAGCTTACACATGGCAAAATCGAGTTTATATTTCTTTTCGTTCACTGAAAGGGCTGAGTCGACTCTTTTATTGAATGAGCACGAGCTCCAAGCTGATATGCTCTACTTGATTCGATTCAAATAGCAATTCTTGATAGAGATCAAAAAGTATATAGAATAGAAGAAAATGTTAAATGACGCGTTATGGTGTTGTGGCGGAAAAAATAGACTAAAATAGACTTGTCAAAATAGGTTTGTGTAGCCATTCACCTCGCTCTACAAAGAGAGTGGACCGGACCAGAATTTTGAAGGCCCGTCAAAGAATGGGCATAAGAGGTCCTGCCTGCTGTTTGGGTTCTAGCCAATTCGCCTTTAAAAGATAATTATAAATAATATATACAATAGAAATAAAAATCAAAACCTAGAGTTACAATTAGACATGGCCAAGGGTTGAACCGGCCCGCCGAACCGGCCCGGACCCGGACCGAACCCGGCCCGGCCCGGCCCGGAACCGGCCCGGAAATGCCGGTTTTCGGCCCGGAACCGGCCATATCAAGGGCCGGTTCCGGTTCATTCGAAT